ATAAAAATGAATGAAAGATATAACATCACCTTGTACATGTATCAGTAACTGTATTGGTGAAGGATGGCAGTGTATGTAGAGCTACTTTAAGATTTAACTTCCAGTTCTGCTGCTTTAACTCTGCTGCATCTTTAGGGACCACACTGAGTTTCATATTGCCAGGTGGAAGGGAACTGCTTTCTGATTCCAGTAGGTGCAGCACTAAAACCATCTACAGACTGGGAGAAATGCACATGATGTTGGGATGCAGAGGTGCACACTGACAGTGTCTGTTCTGCACTATGGAACTCATTAGTCAAGTCACATCTAGGATACTGTGTGCTGTTCATGAGCCAAACCCTGATCTGATGCAATTGTGTGGGGCAAGGAGTGTAGAGTGCCTCCTTCTTTGCTAGAACAGCTCATTACTAGGTAAAGAATGCTAGGAAAAATAACTGGCTTCATCTCTAGTTGCTGCACTACACACAGCCCAGATGGGATATGGCCAGGCACTTAGTTAACACAATGGATACGCCCAAAAGGCCTTGTATGGTGAGTGCTAGATAGGGAGTGAGTACTTTTCCTTTTCAAAGAAACAGAAGGGTGTGCCTTGCCCTGAGCCCTCTATGATCTGATCAGGCACTGATAGGAAGGCTCTTGTTCCTCTTGCATACTCAGCACCTGTCCTCCCACTAACTAACTAACTAGACTAACATGACTAACTACTGAGGGCAGGAATATGTCTACTGCTAGGTCACTACTGAGACAGGAAAGGAACAGGATGCAAGAGAAGGGAAAGCAGCAGAATGAATGGGGCAGTATAAGAGTCTCCTACTGCTGGTCTTGGATGTAAATGTCAAGCATGTCCGACATGCTTTGGATAGAGCCATCAATCAAAATCCTGTCTGTCAACTCCAAAAAGAGTTGGAGATGTTCTTTGGTTTTTGAAAGATAAGAAAATACTGTCATAGTGGCTATATATAGGACTTCATATGAAGGTGGCAACGTTGGAGTATTGAATATTTTTATCTCAATAGAGGAGGAATCTGTCTATCTCCCATAAAATGCTGTAGGGGGATGCTATGTACTCAGTTCATGCACATAGAAAATATCATAAGCTTTAGCTTAGTATATTCTGTTTCTTCTAAGGGGTAACTTTCATACTCTGATTTTTTTCTCCTTGACTCAGTTTGTTCCTGTAATTTGCCTCCTAACCCAGTTCACGTCACCAAACAGCATTTCTGTGTGTACTTGATACACTTCAAAGAAGCATAGCAGTTTCATGCACATTGCAGTGCACAGAAACTTTCCATTTTTTTCTTTGTCAAAAATATGTTGTATTTAGTTTATTTGTATGAGGTAACTGTTCCCATGGATGAAAAGAGTGCAATGTGGAGAGGAGGGTTTTCACTGGTGCAAAGAATTCAGGTTGAATTAGTCACTCTCTCTGGCATTCTGTTCCCAGAAACTCTCTGTCCCTCTCAGTTAGATAAACCGAGTTCTGTGTAGTTTATTGTGGAGGTACCTTGCAAATGAAACACTGAAAACCAAAGTCTGGTCCTCTCTGGACAGGCACACAAAATTGTACAGCTTAGGTTTTACTTGCTTTTCCTTTGTCAGAATTCAGCCCACGCTCACTCCTGAGTTGTATGTTATGTGCCAATAAATGGCTTGTGCCCTTCACTCCAGGGATGCATACTCCATTAGCACTTGCTCGTATATGAGCCATAGAATTTTCTGGTTGGGAGGGACTTCCAGGGTCAGCTAGTCCAACCTGTTGCAAAAATCTAGGGGTTTCTAGCCCTAAACCATCCCAGATAGATGCCTATACAGTATCTCCCAGAAAGCAAAAGGAGCTTCTACGGTTTCCAATGGTAACTTGTTCCACTGTCCTACTTTCCTTACCATTAGGAAACATTTTCAGAATTGATCTAACTGAGGTTTACTACAGTTTAAAACTATTGCCGCTTGTCCTGCTGTCTGTGGCAAGGAAAAACCCTGCTTCATTTTCTTGATTGCAGCTTTTCAAACATTTGAAAACTGCTCCCACGTCCCCCTCCCTTTACTTCAGACTTAAACATACATGACACATTTAGCCTCTCCTCGTAGCGCTTGCTTTCTAACCCCTATGGATTCATACCTACCGTTTATGTCATACACATTATATTCATGTACACAGAGTGGTCTAAGTGTCACCAGGTTAGAAACCACTAGAGATTATTTGAACCTAAAATACTCTTGAACTTTTTAGGAGTTGGGCTCTGACTGAGAAATTCTTGGCTATGATCTGTGTCTTGATGATATTATTTTAGCAGCTCCGTTGGAGCTTGTATGCATGCAGCACTTGGAATGGTTTGAATTCTTTGCTTGTTGAGGAGTGATGGGATTTGTTTTAATTTTTGGCTTCATAGAAACTCCTTCTCAAGAGGAAGAAGAGCTACTGCTTGTTGGGGAGGAATGTTAAAAGGATTCTTTCGTGGGAGTTGAATCTCTAAGTAAATAGTCTTGTGTCTGGCACTAAGCTCTTTCCACCTCTTCCAGCTCCATACTGTAAATAGGATGAGTTTGTGAAATATATCCTGCACTCTGCCTTTATGATTCTCTCTCCTTGGCACAGCATGGCATGGCATCTAGATCTTTTTATTAGCTTTGTAGGATGAAATGCCACATCTGATCAATGACAATTAGCATTTTATGAAAATCAAGAGGAGATAAAGAGGTCAATTCACTGTTTTCCATGTAGGAAAGAGAGAACATTTCCATTGGGGTTTACTTGATCTTCTCATTGCAGTTGCAAATGGGCATGACATCTGTGCACACTCAAGAAATGGACTAATATTGTTCTTGAATTAACTATTAGGGAATAGGATTGTATAAATGGCTGTCCTCAGAAGGATGCCTATAAATTAGATGCTTATAATAAGGAACTATCCAAGGCCCTTATCCAAAGCTCATTCATTGCCATGGTAGCTTTTCTTTTCTGCTGACTACAGTGTGCTTTGAATAACTCCCCAACAATTTAAAATACACTAATTATCTCACCTCTCCCTTGATAGCTACCTTCTCAGAAGTGCTAAAGGTCTGCACAGAATGTCCCCAAAGATATGCTACAAAACATCATCCCATGGTGTAATCAAGAGTGAACTCATGTCCCGTGCACCCTGTGCAAAATTGTTCCCATGGATCTAGTCTGTAAGTGAATTGTTTGCTGATATGGGGGAGAGAGTTGTTTATTGCACAGCAGGGATGTATTATCTGCATGGTGCTGAAAGATGAAAGATTGGACAGGGGAGGTGTTAGGGATTAGATGAAATGACAGAGAGGGGGGGTGGGGGGTGGGGGGGGGGGGGGGGGGGGGGTGAGCTTGTCTCATTGCATGTATACTGCTGTTCCAGGAGAGGGCAGGTTAAAATGTGAATTGTTAAAAGTTCTTCAAGAGGTCTTAGGGGTATTGGTTGCAGCTGCGTTGGTCTAAGGACATAGGGAGACAAGGTTCTTTGGTTAAATGTGATATATTTTATTAGACCAACTAAATAGTTGGAAAAATTGTTCTTGAAAAGCTTTCAGGTATGAACATCCTTCTTCTTAAGTGTTCTTAAAAAGTCTTTGAAGATGGCTATGGCAGCCTCATTTGTTACTCTGCATCAGATTGGAAATTTCAGTAAAGAAAAGGCAGTAATGGGTTTTCTCTTGGGAATGATTACATTTTTTTTTCACCAGCTTGTTTTTCCAAAAATCTTCAACTGAGAAGAGTCACCAATTTGAATCATTACAAAGAGGGAGCCAGAGAGCAGTATGTTTCAAGAGTTTTCTCTGCATCTGGCCAGCACTTTCCACTATTCATCATTAAACTCTGTTGTTTTGTAATCAAGTCATTTCAAGAGCATTATCAAAGCTAGTTGAAGGGGTGAGAAGAGAGGGAAAACAACCCAGAAGGTCAAACTTATTTCTCTACATTGTGGCTGCATCTACACGAGATGCTGACTGCACAGTCATTATTGGCAGTCATTGGATACTTGTATAAACAAGTACTAAATGAAGTACTACAGGTATAAACACATACTAACCCAAGTTACTGAGCAGCAGCATTGATGAACAGCTTTTTTGTGATGTTGACAGCGCAGTAGCCCGAAACTACTGCACAGTAGTGTCGCATCACGATTGCTGCCACACGATGCCACTATGCATTAGACTTGGGCTACTGTGAAGTCAGCCTCTCATGTAGATGCGGCCTGTGAGGTCTAAAAAATACACACAAGATTGCAGTCTTGCAAGATTCCTTTACACTGGCTCTACAGTAACAATGCTGTGTACATCTGAGGCCTGACTTTAAGCCTATGAGGGCTCCTATTGATTTAAATGGGCTTTAGAAAAGGAACTGCTGGCACTTTTTAGCCGAGGTTTTTAAGTGCTTTACAAACATAAATTAATTCTAGCTTCACACTGTGCTTCTAAGCCTTGGGAGTCTATTTATCACTATTCTAGAGCTGGGGGAGCTAAGGCACTGGAGATAATCCTCATTGACTCCCTTGTCATCTGGTGTTTGCATAAAATCACACAGGAACTATGAGGAAAGAGCTGGATCTGAGGTCCCCAGATCCCTACTCATGTGCTGTCAGAACCATCCTTCCTCCCAGTCTGCCTTTGTTCCTAATACCATTCTCCTCCAGATAAATATAGCACAGCATCAGCAACATCACATGAAAGACCAAACTGCTTTGAAGCCTCAGATTATTCCAGCTTCTCTCCATGATTAAAACAACTGGCATGCTACAGAGGCAAGATAAAGTCATTGTTTCTTACCCTTCCATTCTCACTACATCAGCATTTCTGAGGTTAATTGTTAGGATTAACAGCTAGATCTAGTATGTGTGCAAGCATGATCCAACAGGGTGGCAAATGAAATGTGTCACAGTGGCTCATATATGGAATTACCAAGCTCAAGGCATCCTTGGTGTGGACTATTCTGCACCCCACAGCGAAAAAATATCTTGGTGCTTTATATTATTAATTAGTTAATTAAGTTTTTCAGTATTCCTATATAATATATAGTTATAGCCTTTATACAGATGGGTGAACTGAGGCATGGGGAAGTTAAATGCCTTCCTCACTATGGCAGCACTAGAGCAATATGCCCAACACTTGCCATTAACTAGTAGGAAAATACCTTGACTGGCTGTTTTGACTCTGAGTTCATCTTTACTGTTTTTGTTAGCAGCAAATGGATGAATGACACTGTTACAAAATATTTGTAACAGGTTTTCACTTGTCCTGAAGGCTAGAAGGTAAAATCTGAGGCACAGGGAGAGGGGGTTGTAAAAAAGAAAGGAAGAAAAGGAGGATGGCTTTAAAGGTATTTATGCTTTTCACTGCAGCTTGGATGACTCAAGCCTGTTGAATGGGATAAATTATGAAACTTCACTCTAGGATCTAATCCAGCCCACAGTGATAGTGGCTGAAAACTATAGCTGTGTGATGACTCGCAGCTTGCATGAAATAAATCAGTGACTAATTTAAACTCCTAGCAAAGTGCTGTTTTGTATCAGAAAATGCATCTTTGGGTACTTTGGCATCTTTGGCACCAACTGTCACTCTTGTTGGCAGGCATGATACAGTGACGTTGCGGTGATGCAAGCTGAAGTGCCCATGAAGGGTTCTTTGGTTGGGAAGTCCCTACCTTTCACTGTTCATTGTCACAAGGGCTGAGTACAGACAGTCAAAAAGCCTGCGGTTGAATCACTTCAATTGTCACAGGTTAGTTTAAGCTGCATAGATTGAACCAGAAAACAAATGAGCAGACATTCACTATTGATTCTGGAAATGCAGCCACATGCCTGCCATGGCTCAGGCCAGAAGACCGGAGCAGACAGCCTGGGCCAAAGTTAGCCCACCCTGTGAGGGGAGAAGAGTGGGGTTTATGGGGGAGGTGCAAAGCATCCTGGGATGCTGGGGGGGGACACTGTGAATTAACTTGAACTTGGAGGGATCTGGGACAGAAGTTTAATAATCAGATTTAACCTAAATCAGTTAAGTCTGATACTACATCCATCCAGGTTTATCTTAAACTGGTTTTGGCCATTTTGAAAGCAGTTTATGTGCCCTGAACTTTTGTGTTACAGATTTGAACTGGTTTCTGATCACTTTATACCAGTTTCTGTGTAATTTCTATCCCTAGCCAAGGAGATCACAAGGAACCAAGCTATTGTTGAGTTTAATTTCCATATGTCTTTGCATGTTACCCATCTGGAATGTACCATATAAATAATCAAAGCCAGTCTTCAGTCTTTTCTATAACTTCTAACAATTATAAATACTTTTTAATATGAACTTAGTGCTGATAAAAGGTGTGGATTGACTATCCCGGAACCACTAGCTCTCATCTACCACAAACAGGTTAAGCGTGTCCACATTATCCCCCCTTTGACATGCTTCTGTCCTGACCTAAAAGTTGTTAAAGTTGAGGAAAATGAAACCTCTTGCATAAAGCTATAACAAGACTAACAATAGTATCAGCTGTACGACATTTGTTTTCAGAAAGCTGCCTTGAAGAGGTAAACATTTCATGTGTCCCATCTTGTTGTTGTCAGATGTGGGAATTGTTGATCACTACACAAGTGGGCTGGATTTAAAACATTGATTAATAATAACCGGTCACCCATGCCCTTAAACCAGCTCTGCTGTTTGGTGGCCACACCAGAAGGAATTCCAGTGCATAAACTTCAGGGGCAACAATTCACATTTTCTTATACCAACAGAAAATCTTAGAGACATTCTCCAAATAACATCTTAATGTTGTGTCTGCAAGAAGAGTTTCTAACAGAATCAAGGTTAAAAGATTTAGTTGAATGCATATACCAAATTGTACTTGAATAGGCTACACTCTATTGTACTATATAGAGTTCTAACTATATACAAATATATTTGCATAGAAATGCAAACTTTTCCATATAGGCCAAGCACATGCGTTTTAGTGAATATTTTCATACAATATATTCATTTGCCAGTTTATATCTCTATCAAATACTCTATGCCTTTGCAAGCCTTTGAAGTCAAACATTTTGAATGTTGAAGGATTCAGGCTAACATTATACAACAAGTGCCTCAGGATGGAAGAAATGGCACATCAGGAACAGGAGGTCTAGTGCAGGTAAAATTAAACTTCATATCAATCTTTACTGCAAATGCAGATGAACCCACACTTCTTTAGAAGGTAAAATGAACCCACCCTCCTTCAGAAGGTAAAATACAACTCGTATTTAATTATATTATGCATAACTGTCATATAATAAGACTATATTGTATCATTTGTTTAGCACGGATATTAACTGTATATTATATCATACCTAATGTTTATTATATAGTAAAAACAATTGTACCCTTATGGGAAATGGCAGAAACAATGTGGGACTTTAAAATCAGACTGGACAAAGCATTAAGGGAAAAACTGTCCTAGGAAAAAATAACCTTATTTAACTGCCTTGCTCTTGTATAGCATTTTCTATCACTAGAACTCAGGCAGGAGAGACATGAAATATGAAGGCTTTTGAAGGTCTAACTTCTGTGATTCTGCATTCTTGACTTAATGCAGTCCTGACTTTGGACAGGTGATAGACACAGCAAAATATCACCTGAAAGTTGGAGCACACAATATTTCTGGCCTGACTGATGTCAGGTAGCACCAGAAAATTCCTGAAATTGCCTTCTTGAAATCTTTGCACTCAGAAAGGCAAGCTATTTTTGGATAAGCTTAAGATTGAATGTAGTTACTGCTGAGATCAACTCAAAATATCCAAATATCACAGGGAGAAAGCAGACAGCTTTATCAAGTGAAAATAATCTCACTCTCTCTCAAGTATTTTTTTCAGTGTTACTAACATGAAGGGTTTCACAGCTCTTGGCACATAATGTTGCAACTCTCTTTGCCTATGAAGATACTAAGAAACATGAACCCTGCTTACCCCTTCCATATGGATCCTGGGAGTTGGTGCCAGCCTGTATTGATTAAGTTGTAAACCTCTTGGGACTCTCCTGATGGAGGCAGGAGAGGACAGGACCCCAGATCTTTGGAGTGAACCAAATCTCATAACATTTTGTCCACATCTGACACCATCCAGTAAGCGAATTAGAAGCAAGTTGGACGGTAACTCTTCAATACTGCAGGAGACGAGAGTTCTGCATTCTGGGCATCTCAGCTCCTTCTGGGATTTCAGTATTCTCTGCAGACAAGGCTTGCAGAAGGTGTGCTGGCATGGTAGCACCTTGGCTGTGACATCTAGCTTTTCAAAGCACACAGGACACTCCAACAGGTCAAGTAAAGCTAAATCATCCATCTTCAGTGGAGAGCTTGAGTTGTAAGCCAGGCCAGAAAAGTCCACATGATACATTCACTTGAGCATAGGTGGCTCCTTTTCATACCCTCAAAAACGATGCTGTAATCCTAGGATCAGAAAACCATCCTGCATGAAGCAAAAGGGAGGGGGGAAAAAAAAAGAGCAGAACTTCACTGCTACAGTATGTAATGTATCCCACCTACATTGCAAAGCAATGCCTCACGAGCCAATTTGCAAATGTATACTTTGCTCTCGCATCCAAGTCTGAAGTGAGTCATTTATGATTCAGTACTAGTGAGAAGAACAGTATTCAGGCTCAAATCGGTTGCAGAACAGATCCGGGCTCTGTTCGCTGGGGCAGATAAATAACTGTAGGTTAGAATGAGTTAACCATATTAATTCATGCCTGTAAATCAAAGCATCATTGACTGACTGAAACAGGACAGGAATGTTCCTTCTTGCGTGTAACATCTGAACACTTTAACGCTTTAATGCTACGCAGTCTCCTGCTTACCATGTTAGTTATGAATACAATAATAAAAGATTTCCACCTGGTTAGGTGATAAGGTAAACATCATATTGAACCTTATTCACACACACACTGTCTCTATTACTGTTTAGCTAAACGCACACACTCACATGCATACACACCCACATCTTACAACACCCACATGCTATTTCATTTTTAAGATCCTTCCTAATTAAGCTTGCTTTCTACTAGTTTTTAGCAGCAATTCTATAAAGCCATTCAAATACAAGTATTATTCTTATACCTAGTTAAGGAGCTCTGCAGTCGCATCCTCACCTGCCTCGCTTATCCAAAACAGCCCCAAAAGTAATCATTATTCCTCCCACAATGTGAAGTCACTCAACCTGTTTAGCTCCTTTTTCAGCTGCCTGTTCATTTGAACTGAAACATGTATGAATTTTGGATTCAGGTCATGGCTTGTGGAAACATGTATAGTTCCTTAACACATTCAGAGGCTCTGTGTGTATGAGTGTGTATGTGTGTGTGTATAATCCCAACAAGATCCTATTTACCAATAATCCTTTTTCTTCTGATGTTGAAATACATGTTGATAACCCTGAAACCTTCCTTCTGAAAACCCACTGAGGCTTATTTGTCTCGCATGGACACAGAGATTTTGTACTGTACTTTTGCCTAGTAATCCTGGTCGATATACTTTGGACCCTCTCCCCACTAATGAGAGAGGGTTATAATCAGTTTAACTGAGCCTTCATTTGTTAAGCAGAATCTAGAGATCATTAATTCTTGAGTACCACTAACCTTGTATTTGTGACCCTTCATAGGCAAGATCAATTCTGCACAGCTGAAGGGATGACAGCTCACTCCCTCCCCAAAATGCAGCCCTATTGAAAACTTTAACAACTATCTATCTATGTTACTGGCTTACAGATCAACTTACTTGCACAGCCCTGTTAACTCCATCACTGCCTGATGGATCCTCTCCAGAAAGTTTCAGAAAGAAGCTCCTGCTTATTGGTCCTGGTTAGGAGGCAGATGCTGGGTTGGAGGATCTGACCTCAGTGGAGGTATTCTGGACGTGCACTGCAGAAGTGAGATAAGATCCTGGCTCTGAGTCTTTCTCTATACAGCTGAGCTTGTTTCTGAGAAAAGGGTGGAACCACTTTTAAAGCTTTATTCTTAGGAACTCTCAACTAAGCAACACAAAACCAAGAAAAAAAATCTGGCTTCGTGTTGCTTTCTATTTCTGAGAATGTATTTAATTTAACTCAGCATTGTAAAAGCATTGGATTTATTGTACTGGAACAGACCAATGGTCTATATAACTAGTTGTCTGCATCCAGCACTGACGGATACTGGAGGCTGGTGACCCTCCAATGGCATGTGCACATGTGATACTTTCTTAAGAGGTGGGAAGCAACTGTCTGATCAGATTTGATGATCTACTTTGTTTTGTAGTATTGTATCATTTACATACAAACGGTGTAAGGGCACATGGTATTTTTGTTCATGTGCCTTTTATTAAAACTTACAAAGCTCTTTGCCTCCAGCTCCTCATGTCATTCATGTCAGTCTGTTCCACAGGTTGTGTTCCACACAGGCTCACAAAAAAGCGTACTTACTCCTTTCTAAATGTTTAATTCATAGCAAAGATAACATTGTGACAGCCTTGTTAGGAAGCAGGGCACTAAGGGCCTGTTTTCACAGCCTTTAACACACTATTTGATAGTTTCAAAATAGAACAAGGCCTGGGTATATAAACATACTAGTTGGTATATACCAAAAGGCATATTTTTAAAGCTCTTAAATGCATATTTAATTTAGCTTGGCTATTACATTTACAGTAGGTTAAATGCTAACCAATTATTAAACTAATTATTGAGACATCACAGTGTGGCAGATATTATTTTTGAAGGAGCCAAGTTATTAATCATCGGTAAAGGCATTTTAGCCTTCAATGAATGCAAAATAATGTACTGTACTTCATTCTGTCATTACTATGTAGATAGAAATTCCAGGGAAGTAAAGTAATCATTGGCAGGGGGTGGTTAATTCACTTCCAACTAAATCTAGGCGGCTTGTTTTCAACTTTGCAGTGATACTCATTTGAAGGGATAGTCTTATTTTAGACCCAACTCTATCCAAATGCTCTCCATTATTTATTTATTTGCTGTTCTTCAATAGCATGAAGAGGCTCCAGTTAAGACTGAGGTACCTTGGGGAGAGTGGTCAGAGTAGAGAATCTGGTCCAGGGAGTTTGGGATCTGGGGTAGCAAACTGTGCGCCAGCTGTTTCTAGAAGTGATCCAGAGGAAAAAAGTCCTGCCCTTATAAGTCCCCATAAATGTATCCCAGACACAGCTACTTCAATGAAACTATTTCATCCTACAGTTCTTTTTTTCTAGTAATACTTGGACTTATAAATGCCACAGACAGCAGGGAGCCTGCTCCTGCTCCCATTAAATTAGCAACTTCAGTAGGAGGAGAACTGGGCCCAATAGGCATGGGGGATTTTTTGAAGTTTTCCAGCTCAGCAGGATTTACAGCTCTGCAAGTTGCTGACCCTTCATCTCAGAAGCTCAAAACTCTTGTCTGCCCCTGGGCACTCAGTGCACTTCAGTATCACACCTTAAAATAACAGCATCTAGCACTGAAACAAACATCTTCGCACTTCTGTTCAACAAAGCATTGTCTAATAAGGATTGTTCTCTAATTAAGTGCTAGCTCCAAGTTATAACAAAATGCCCTGTCTAGAAATTGGACAGGCAGGCAATGGAAGGAAATTCATGGTGCCTATTAATTTCTGTTGTTGATATCAGCAGCTCCTGTTTTATCAGTTGACCTCCTTTCCAGATCCTTGCCTTCGCTCATCTATCCTCATGCGTTGGCTTTGTAGCAAGGGAGATAACTAGATGTAGGGATGAGTCAAGCAGATTTTTCTCACAAATTTCTGCCATCTCGCAAAAGAGCATGTTTTATTACTGTACAAGTACTCCAGGGAGGAGAAAGGGATTTGAATTTAAATTAGCGATTTGTATTTGCTCCAGTTTCATTCAGTGCTTCTGGTAGGTCTTTACTCTTAGCCATATTTCTCCTCATCCCCTCTATAAGCAGCAATAAAACAGGGACTTAATTTTGAGAACAGCTGAACAGAGCTGGTTGAACCCTTTATAGCCAAATTTTTCCAGCAAAAATACAAATTAAATGAAAAAGTTTTCCATATTTTGCCCATTATGATAATTTTACTTAAACCATGTTTAATCCTTAATCTGCTTTGGATAAAAATACTGGCAAAATAGCACTCTACTGAATCTAGTCCTCATATCCTGGGTGATGCTTTTTTTGAAAATCTTTCTCATTTAGTTCAAAATATTAGACTACATGTTTCTATAATCTTAGAAGAGGACCCGAATCTAGCATCCAATCCTACACATCATCTTGCAGGGCTGGATTTTATAACATAGCAATTGTTCTTTGAGGATTTGAGAGAAATAGCCTTTCAACTTTTCTGCCTCTCTGCTTTCAACTTTTAGTTATAAACATTTACACTGATTGTAATCACATGGGAATGTCAGTTCATACTTGGACTTGGAGTAATCATAGCAATCTTTTTGTTAGGCAGTTCCCCATCTACAAAATGAAGAAGATGGGGTGGAGGCAGAGGGATTGACATTCTTCATCTGTCTCATATGTGTGGATTGCCTAGCACAATGAAACCTTGATCTTGATTGGAGTCTCTTAAGTGCCACCCTAAGATAAAATATATTCCTTTGACTATAAGACACTTTAACAGGAAATATTTCCTCTAAAAATACCTGTCTTAAGTTTGAGTGAAAAAGAAAAAGTAGAGAGCTCTAATATGCATTATAGAAGTGCCTTAATTGAAGTTTTATTTTTTTCTTTAAATTGAGTCTGACAATTGAAGTGTGTCTTAAATAATAGTACGTCTTATAGTTGAAAAAATATGGTCATATCTATAACAATATTTAGCAGTTATACAATCCTTTAAATCTGCAAGGTTTTTTTTCCCAGGCACTAATTAATCTGTGCATGGTCCTTGAGTATATGTATTATTCCCATTTTATAGCTGGGGAGCTTGGGATATGTCGATCAGTTTGCATAAGGCCGTACAACAAATCAGTGTCTGAACCGAGATTAAGTTATGAGACTTTCCTGGATCCCAATCCATGCTTAGCCCATTGTACATAACTGATTTGGCAGGTATTTAAGCACACATTTTTATCTGAGGGGTGTTGGTTCTGGCTGTGCTGGTCTAAGGACACAGGCAGACAAGGTTATTTGGGTAAATGTAATATCTTTCAGGCGCCTGTGCTTGAAAGCTTGTAAGAATATTTTTTCCACCTATTCAGTTGGTCTAATAAAAGATATCACATTTACCCAAATAACCATGCCTGCTTGTTTTATGTTAAACATAGCACACATTTAGCCTACATAATAGTACAGATTACCATTTCCCCAGAAGTATCACTGCTAGTGAAAGATTCTGTTCTGAAATCAATTACAGAGGACAGAATGAACACATCTAGCTTCATAGGAATTTCATAGGAATTTGTCTTCCACTTCCCACCTGAGTCAGATTTATTGTTATTAATGGGAAGAGCAAAGTCCCAAATGAATTGCTCAATGTCTGAGGTGGTGTGATGAGGTGCTGTAGTTGTCTTCTCGGCTAAGTACAGACATTCAAAAAGCCTGAGCCTGAATCGATTCAGTCTTTGCAAGTTAGTCTAAACTGCATAGGCTGAACTGAGAAGCAGGTGAATAGACATTCACATTTGATTCCAGAAATGCAGCCACCTGCATGCAGTGGCTAAGGCTAGGGGCTAGAGCAAGCCCTCCCTTCCCTTTGGCAGTGGTAGAAAGGGTGGAGGGAAGCTGGGAGAGAAGCCCTCCAGGCTTTTTCCCCCCACCTGCTCAAGCTAGTGGAGGGGGGGTCATGGCCAGGCCTTGGCAGGTCACTGAGTATGTTTGGAGAGGGGTTTAAATCCCCACTCCAGCCTGCACAGTCCTCAGCCAGGGTGTGCCTGGAGCGGGGAAGCAGCCCCTGCCTGGCTCTTCTCTGCTTGCTCTTCTAGTGGCACGGGCGGGGGCACCCTGAGGCCAAGACCAGCATGGACCCCAGTGAGGGTCTGCCTTGCAGGAGCGCAGCAGCCCCTGCCAGGCTTTTTCCTGCTTACCACTGGAGCAGTGAGGCCGGGGTCATGGCCAGATGCCAGCCCAGGCCGGCCCCCTGAGGTGAAGTGGGGGAGGAGAGGGGTTTAATCCTCCCTCCAGCTCCTGCAGCAGCAGCCCCTGCCACGCTGGTTCCTGTGGCTTGAGTGGCAAGTGGGGAAAAGCCTGGCAGGGGCTGCTGTATCCCTGCCAGGCAGACTCTGGCTGGCTTCCTGTGCTGGTGGGAGAGAGAAGGGAAGATTAAATCTACCTCTGTCCCCCTGCCCTCCCCTCTTTTGCCTCAGGGGGCTAGCCTGCACCAGTTTGGCCATTCCTTTCCCCAATGCCGCTAGAGTGACAAGTGGAGGGGGGAAAGCCTGGCAGGGGCTGTTATGCCCTTGCCAGGCAGACCCTGGCTGGGGTCCCATGCCAGTGGGGGGGAGGGTTTTATCCCCTCTGATTCCCACCTTTGCCTCAGGGGGCTGGGCCAGGGTCTGGCCGCACCTCCCTCCCCAGAGCAGGGAAAAGCCTGGCAGAGACTTCAGTCCGGAGAAGAGTTTCCTGCCCCCACCCCTTCTCAGACAGCCGGAGCAGTGATAGTGCTCAGGCTGGGGAGCAGAGAGGTGGGGCCAACCCTGCTCTGGTGGAGCAGACAGCCAGCCCAGCCCAGCCCAGGGCTGCAAAGCATCCTGGGATGCTGGGGGACTGTAAGATAACTTAAACCAGGAAGGGATCAGTGACAGAAGTTCTTTAAACTGGTTTGACATAAATAAGTCTGGCTTAAATAGTAAACTTAACAGCTTATGGCTTAAATAAGTAGCTGACTTAAATAAGTTAAGCTATATTCAACCGGGTTTATCTTAAACCAATTCTGGCCATTTTGAAAGTGGTTTATGTGCACTGAACCTCCGTTCTGTTACCCGTTTAAATCAGTTGCTGATTACTAAAACCAGTTTATGTGTAATTTCTATCCCTAGCCCTCTAGACCAGTGGTTCTCAGCCTTTTTAGATTCAAGGCACCCTTTGTAGACTTGAGGCACCCTTCCATACCTTTTGTGAATTGAAAGGCCTCCCACTTCAAAATGTAATGTATTTATTACGGGGCTTATTGCTTTGCAGAGGGGGCCAGGCAGTTGGAGTGGGGAGCAGCCAGGCAAAGAGAGCCTGAGCCTGCTTTTATCTCCTCACACCTGAAAACTGAGCCTGCCTTTATCTTTCTATCTCCTCACACTTCCTGCAGCACCCTTGAAGGATTTTGCAGCAACCTGAGTGCCCTGACACCCTGGTTGAGAGTCATTGTTTTAGACCAGGGGCGGGCAATTATTTTGGGCAGAGGGCTGCTTACTGAGTTTTGGCAAGCCATCGAGGGCCTCATGACAAGCAGCCCAGGGCAGATAAATATTAATTTTCTAAATTTTTTAGGGGCCCTGTGGGCCGGATAGAATGGCCTGGCAGGCCGCATCTGGCCCACCCCTGCTTTAGACTGTCAGCTGGAATATTGTGCCTTTGCCTACCCTGTCCTGAAATGTGAAGTATTTTCATGAGTAATTCTGAAAGATCTTTGCCTTTGAGCATGTTCACGAACATTGCAACTGCTACGCTGGATTGGAACCATGGTTGTTCCCATCCAGGGTTCTACCTTCAGCAGTGGCCCGTATTATATTCTTCAGAAAAGGGTACAAGAAACCTCAACATTAGACACAGAATATAATTTATCTTCCACATTACATCTCCTCTAATTCTGAAGAGCTGGAGTCTGGATTAAATTAGAGTTCTGTTTCAAAATGCACCAGCTTTAGACACTTGTAACTAGATACAGTATTGTTGTTTTCCATATAAATGTCCAAGCCCCTTTCCCCACTATATCTAGCTAAGTTTTTACCTTCAACCATATCCATAGGATGCGTTTTACAGATTCATTACACTTTATGACAAAACTATTTCCTTGTATTTTTTCTAAAAGTCATTGAATCAGTAGCTTAACTAACAGAGAGGGCAACTTGTGCTGCCCTCGGCGCTGCCCTTGGGGGAAAAGGGGGTGCAAAAATAGCTGTGACTACAGGCAGTGCTGTCCTGGGGGTTGAATGACTGCCTGGGGTGAGGAGCTATGCTTCTGTATTGAGTGCCCCCTTTTGCTTGCATTATGGGACTTGTAGAGTAATATTTAGAGTATGTCTTATAGAGTATTATTTTGTTCTTAAAAGCTATGGAGAGCAAAATGCTTTACAAAGGTGGGTAGAGTTATTTCCATTTTGTAGAAGGGAAAGACAAAGGCTCTGTGGCTTTTCAGGAACATCTAGCCAGTCTGTGGCAGTCCATAATAAGACCCAGACCATGTAACCTCTTTATCTAGCTTTGCCTCACTGACACAGATTTGATAGCCTTGCTGTATTTAACATTTTTTACTGAAACCACTGAGGCAGTAGGGTGTATTCTTCCCTGCTCCCCCAAGTCATATTCTTTTAACAGCAAAAGTATATTTTCTCCTTCTCGCAGCTTTCTTGGTCCTCTAGAATGCCTTTACCATTTTTAGTCAACTTTCCAAGAACATCTGCTTTCTAGCAAAGGAAAAATATTGAATATTTCAGCACAAAGACAATGTTATAAACTTCTGAAAAATGCCTGTTGGAAAAATGGTGTTACAAATTTAACTTACAGGTATCTCTCTGTCCTTAACTTATAATAGCAATGCTTGCCAAGTTTAAAGAGGGGAATGAAGCTGTGCACCCTCTGTGCAGGGGTATCTCCTACCAAGAGTGGGGCATGGTTCATGCTTGTGCCAACCCAAATAGTTGGTGCTAGGGAGGTTGGCTAGCAAATTAGGAAAACCTCAGTGACTCCCTCCCACATCCCTCCACCTAATCATGCGTGCTACAATGCCTCTGCAATGTCACAACACAGAGCTGCAGCTAAGGGAGCTCTGTATGAGCGCCACGTATTAGGAGTGCGTGTGCGTGTCAGAGATGGAGCTGACAGAGGGCATATGCATGACAGCATTTCACTTGGGAGTTTATAAAAAGCCTGTTGTTATACTGTATATCACAAATGTATGTCACACTCCTCCTCCTACAGGGAAATCATGGACCTCTTACTCTTTTTATAGATTGTGGAGGGCAGGAGAGGGGGTGCCACTTACAAGCTGCTACAAATTATAGATCTAAAACTAACAGCTTGTCCTCCTACCCACCCACAAACACAACACACAGGCCTGCTATTGCTGTTGTCTTTAAAGGCGGGCAAACGGGAGAAGATTCTACCTGTGCTTCCAAACTTTAAAACCAATGCCTGAGATAAGATTGTTGGGGGAGAGGTGTCTGTGTGAGCAGCTGTCTTTACACTCCTGGTAGATATAATTTGGATTAGCTCACTTTGACGCTCACCTTCCAATGCATTATTTTGGTCTGAGACATGACTAAGGCAACTAACAATACATAGCTGCTGTAGTCTTGTGATGGATGCTGTACATACCACCTGCCTAGTTCTAATTTAGGTTTTATGGTTCCTATACCACCATAATGGTCATGGCATAGGAACCCAGACAGAATAGAAAATAAACTTCTTTGATCTCTTAAATCTTCCAAGCCACAAACCAGTGTGTGTGGCAGGCATGCTGGTAGCAGCCCGGCTTGCTGGCTCAAAAGGGCTTTAAGCCATTGGTAGGACTTTCCCACCAAGCAGGAGGTGGTGGAAGAGAGGCTGCCCTGCCCCTGCCCAGAGCAAGGTGAAGAGTCTGGGCCTGGGTGAGGACCCTACTGCCCCTCACCCTGATTGGTCATTTTTGCAATCTGGGGTGGGGGGGGCGGAGCCTCCTGAGGCTATAAAAGAACAGCGTGCCGGCACACGGACACAGCTTTGAGGGATGAAGAAGATGGGCTAAAGAAGAGCTAGGGAGAGCTGCTCAGTGGGGCAAATGTGGTGGTTCCAGAAGAGCCCGAAGACCCCTTCTTGTCACTGAATGGGGAGCGGCGAGCGGTGTAGCCCACAGCAGCGCTGCTGAGAAGTGTGACAGTGGTGCATGGGGTGAGACCCTGGAGGCTGTATGAGGCAGCTCTGGTGTGCACCTCTGGCGTGCAGCCAGAGGCATGGTGCACGGGTTGGTGCATGGACAGGGGACCCTGGAGCCATATGAGGCGGCTTGGGTCCACAACCCCAGTAAGCGGCCAGGGGTCAGTGCATGGACGGTGCACAGCATGGTCCAAATGGGACCGAGGCCTGAGAGCTGTAAGAGGCGACTCAGGCCTTCAACTCCTGGCATGAGGCCAGGAAAGCTCACTGCAGGCAACGCTGCATGGAGGGTCTGGGAGTGGACCCAGGCCCCAGAAGCTGCATGGGGCAGCTGGGACCTGCAACCCCCCCCAGCATGAGGTCAGGCATCTGAAACCCAAGCTTTGCACAGAGGGCTTCAGCATGGACCGAGGCCCTGAAACCTGGCAAGATGGCTTGGGACCCCAACCCTGGGCAAAAGAGTTAAGCCACTGGTGCATAACATGGTACACAGGGCCACCAGGGCTGGTGGGCCCAGAAGGAGAAAGAGACTGTTGGCACCTCAGGAGAAGAAGTGGTGACTTGTTGGGGGAGAAAGAAGGACCCTCCACCCTGTTCCCTGGAGTGTGAGTTCCTGGGGAAGGGGATTCCCACAGGGGAGGTGGAGGCAGGGGGTCCACCTGGGTCAGTGGAGCTGACCCTTCAAGGGGGAGTCTAGAAGGGCAGGGCTCCCCGAGTTTAAATGTATTATAGTTTTTAGGGGCATTTTGGCTGGGCTGGGAAAAGCCTAAAGGGCACAGGGGGAGTTTCTTCCCCAACAGCCAGGGCCATGGGGATGCAGCCAAGGCTCCAGAATGGAGTGCAAGTTGGTAAAGTCTAAACTAAGGGGTATATTAAAATCATTAATCTGATATAATGAGGCTAAGTAGTGATAGAGTATATATATTTAATATGTTTATATTTAATGTTTAAATAGATTTGGATCTGACAGAATGTAAAGCTATAAGACAAGTATTGAAAATTAAATTTAATTCTTAGTGGGATAGTTAACTGTATCCTGAGGGGGGATATAGGACTATGTAAATATTACCTATAATCTTGATAGTCTAAATGTTTTGTTATATATGTATATTTTAGTGACACCCTTGTTGACACTTATTTATGGTTCACCTTTACTTACCTGTTTGTTATTTGTTCTAGGGTCGTTAACTTCCTGCGTGGAGTGTGAAGCCCTTGAGATGGGGTAATCCTCTAGTTGCCATTAATAGAATATAGTATTGTGTAAGTGATGATATATTGTATATATGTTGATTAAGAGTATGTTTCTGTAAATCTTATATAAAGTAATAAATTTGTATATAGTGAAGATGTAAAGTATGGATCTGACTGTCTGTGGGGAAGGCGAAACTGCACGTAGCCAGCAGCTCTCCCTTCACAGAGCACTTGCCCTGCCAACATCTCCCTTCAGTTGGAGAAGGGGGTACACAACCCAGTCCACCCAGGTTACCTGTGCATTACTAGTAGTTGATTGCCTATCAAAATTCTCCAAGGGAAGTCTGCTAGGGAGGTCTCGGGGGGAGGGGGGTCTATAGACACCCCAAAATTCTCATTAGCTCCCCTGTATCCACCCCTCTCAGTGCCACCCCTGTTCAAGACCCCCCACCTTTCCCTCCCAGGCTGCCACTGCCCAGCTTATACAGCTGAGCCTGCCC